ACCCTGCGGCACCCCGCAGCACCCTGCGGCACCCCGCGGCACCCCGCGGCAGCCCCGGCGTGCCCCGCGTCACCAGCCGCCCACGCTGGTGGCATGGCCAGGTGCTGGCCACCAGCCCTCCCACCTGCCCCGGAGAAAGGGGGAGAAAAGCACGTGCAGCCCCCCCGGCCTCCTAAAAGTCACACCTGGAGCAAACACCTGTATCAGGAGGGGGCATCTGGGGTTTATTTGTTGAAGTGCTCCAATTTTTAAGCTTAATATTTCCAATTCTTAAGTTCTTCAATTTTTGAGTTTTTCAGTTTTTAAGTTTTTCGGGTTTTATGTTTTTCAGTTTTTAAGTTTTTCAGTTATTAAGCCTTTTAATGCCTTCAGCCTTCCCCTAAAGGACTGCTTTTCTGAGCTTTTCTCCAAGACAAGCCCCAGCACCGGTGCCCATGGTGTGGAAGGAGGCAGCTCCGCTTACCCTCCTCCAGGGATAGATGTAGGCGATGTCCATCAGGGTGTAATACTCCTTCAGGGGCTCATCTTCGTAGAGGACTTCCACCTGGCGCAGGGGACAGCATCAGTCCCCCGGCACGGGGGCAGAGGCACCCCCAGCCCCCCCCAGAGCCGCTCGTGCGGCACCGGGACTTTGCCGTCCCTGTGCCTCTCCCAGAGCCGGGGGCTGCGGGGCTACCGGCACTGCCCTTGCCAGAAGCCGGAGCAAGTTCCCAGTTTACACGCAACACACCGTAAGGGACGGATCCTGCCCCAGTGCCCACCCGCCAAGGCAAAGCCTGGGCTGCCGCAATATTTGGGAGCTGGCAAAGCGCAGCCTATTTGCAGCAGGGGATGCAACACGGGACGGCCAAAATGGCATCGGCCCCTCCGAGCCCACCGAAAGCCAGGCAGCGAGCGGACCCCGGGCATGCACTCACCTTGTACTTGCTGGGAACGTCCATCTTGTTGCGGAGGAACTTGGCCAGGTGCATGACGGTCATCGCGGCGGGACAGCGCAGGAACCGCACCCCGTTCTTCTGGGGATGCAGCGGGAAGGGGCCGGGGGGAGAGGCGTTGCTGAGAGTCTGCCGTGCAATTAATGGGCCGTTCCCACCCCCTTCAGCGGGCGGTTTGGGGTGCCCTCCTGTCCCCCCCACCCCCCAAAAGCCCGGGAGGCAGCTGGGCACAGAGGTCTCCGTGCCATGGTCCCACCGCACTCACCTTCTCCTTCTCCAGGTCACCGTTCTCAACGGTCCCGTTCTTCTCCTCTCTGGGGGGAGGAAAGCAAACACAGGACAAAGTTTATGGAAGAATAAAAAGGTGGAGAGAAAAAATAACCCACCAGAAGGGCTGTCCATGGAGGGGCTACAGGGGAAACACCCAATGACCTCCAGCCAAGCTCTGGCTTCACATCCCTGACCGCATACATGCCCAAGTTGCTGCATTTCCAATCCAGCGCACTGCAACCACTGCCCAGGCTGCCGCCTTCCCTGCCTCCCTCTGAACTGCTGCTCCGGATGCCAGTGACATCCTCAGGGGCCACCATCAGCACTGGGGACGCGGCAGCCCTTGGGCTCTGCTGCCTGGGACGGAGCCTTCCCCTGCCTGCCCGGGGAGCGGTGACGCGGGGACCCCGCTGCCACAGCAAGCACCCCCAGAGGATGCAGGATGGGGGACCAGGGCAGACGGGTTTTGGGTGCTCCTCTGCCCGTTCAAGCACCCCGGGAGATGCCGAGCCCCAAGCAGGGGCGGTGTCAGCCATCACCATTTGGCATCTCAGCTCCATCTCGTGTGGGAAGAGAGGGTGAGAGTTTATTCACAACCCCCAAACCCAGGCAGAGGCTTAGCAGCAGCCAGAAAATGATACCTGGACCCTTCATAAAACTCTATGGACAGGCTGACGATCTCATCGTCCGTCAGGTTCCCCTTGTCCTGTTCGGAGACTTCCCCACGATCTTCGTTGGACCCGTTGGGAACTGCGGGAGCAGAGGGAGGGAGAGGCTGAGCCGTTGTGGGGGGCACAGCCGGGGTGAGGGGGGGTCCCCAGGGCCGACACTCACCCTCTGCCATGGGGTAGGCTGCATAGAAGTCACGCCGTCTCTTCATCTCATCTGCGGGAGAAGGGAGGAGGAAGGTGAGGAGGAAAAAAATCACACCAAGGGGGAGATGGGTGCAAAGAGCGGGGAGCAAGAGGAAGCCCCGGACTGCCGAGCACCTGCTCCCCGCCGGCAGCTCAAGCACGAGCCGCCTGGTGCAGACGGACCCGTAGGAGAGCAGTCGCTTTAGCAAGAGCAATCAAGTCGTACCAGTAAAACCCTCGGAGCGGCTGCAAATCCGCTGCTGTGAGAATGCCTTTATGGCGGCTCGACTGTCCTGTCTTTCCACACCTGCAGACCCCCACACTTTTTCCCCCGAGGA